CTGGCTGTACTTTTACCAACACAGATTTGTTTGTTCTTCTGGCAGTGTATATTACTTTTAATATTCTTCTCTAACACCGTAGCTCAAATGCATCAATTCTTCTACAGTCTTCCTTATTCATTATCCAACTTCCATATATAAGGCAATTGAAAATATCATGGCTTGGGTCAGGTGCACCGTAGTCCTCAAACTGACATCTTTGCTCTTGAACACTTTTTGAAAAAGTTTTGTGCAGCAGATCTGCCTACTTCAAAACATCATTTGATTGCTTGACTGCTGCTTCCTTGAGTGTTAATAGTGAATCCAAGCAAAAAAAAGTCTTTGACAACTCAATCTTTTCTTCATCCATTATGATGTTATGTATTGGATTTTTGCTTTCTTTATAATGAGGTACAGCCCATACCGAAGGCTGTGGTCTTTGATCTTCATCAGTATTTTAAGTCCTGTTCACTTTCAGCAAGCAAGGCTGTAGCATCTGCGTGTCTCAGGTTGTTAATGAGTCTTCCTCCAATCCTGATGCTATATTCTTCTTCATATACTCCCAACTCTCCTCAGAGTATTTGCTCAGCATACAAATGAAATAAAATGAAAGAATACAAACCTGACCCACAGAATGGGAAAAAATCTTTTGCAAAGACACATCAGACAAGGGACTTCTTTACAAAATATATAGGAAACTACAACACCTCTACAAGAAAAAAACAAATAACCCAATTAAACAGTGGGCATGGGACATGAACAGACACTTCACCAAGGAGGAGATCCAGGCAGCCAACAAACATATGAAGAAATGTGCACGATCACTAGCCATTAGAGAGATGCAAATCAAAACAACAATGAGATATCATCTCCCACCAGCAATAACAGCAAAGATCAAAAAAGTAGAGGACAATAAATGCTGGCGGGGATGTGAAGAGACTGGGACACACCTGCATTGCTGGTGGGACTGCAAAATGGAAAACAATATGGCGCTTCCTCGAAGGTTGGGAATAGAAATATCTTATGATCCAGCAATTCCTCTACTTGGTATTTACCCACAAGAAATATGAGCCATAACACAAGTAGATATATGCACACCAATGTTCACAGCAGCACTATGTACAATAGCAAAAAGATGGAGACAGCCTAAGTGCCCATCAACTGAAGAAAGGATAAACAAACTGTGGTACATACACACAATGGAATACTATGCTACCTTGAAGAACAACAAGGAAGCTGTACGCTATCACATAACATGGATGAAACTTGAGGACAATATGCTGAGTGAAATTAGTCACAAAAGGAGAAATACTGCATAGGACCACTACTGTAAAAGTCTAAGAAAAAGAACCCATACTAAAGGGGGGGTGGGATTTTTTGCTGGTTGCTGGAATGTGGGGGGTGGGGTGAGGGGAGGGAGGGGAAGGTGGAGCACAGGATAGGGAATAGACACAGGATAGTTTGGGTGCTAGGGAGGGGGGCAATATACAAGAAGGGGGAGGGGAATGGTAGAACAAACTGGATGGGATAACAATTAGGTTTGCATGGGCTAAGTGGGACAAAGGTAAAGAATGATGTATGCACAACCTTGGAAAAACAGAGCTCTGGGATACAGGGTTTGAGACATGGTTATAATGGGGAAAAGGGGGTAAATAATGTTAAGATGCTCGGCTTTCTTTTGAATCTTCGTTTCCCTGGCATACCATTATAAAATAGACACTTAAGGGAGAGAGAAAGGAATAGCCAGAAATATCACCATAGAAAGCGTGTAAGTCCGTCTTCTGCCTATAACTGATTGGAATATATAAAATGGGGCTACAGTGTGCCCAGTGAAGGCGGTTTCCTGCAGAGCTTCTGCATTACATAAGACCATAGGTGAAATCCTGAACAGCATCCAGAATCTTCAGAGATGGGAAATTTCTACTTGAAAGGACAAGCAGACCAGCCTGGAGCAGATAGAAGATACTTCTTGAAAGAAAGACCAACAGGAAATATACAAAACAATAATCACAGACCAACTGTTACTATAAGAACTAGCAAGTTGCTTGCCTAGGAGACATCAAGGCAGTAGTCGGGTCCCCTCAGAGCAAACCCCCTTCCAAGACTAAGACTCAATGGGAATACACGCTCTGATTGGTGACCACGTTCATCACCGATGAGGGAAAAACAGCAATGGAGCTGTGAGCTAAGCCCTACAACATTCAATAGAGTCCTGTGAACCCGGGTAGAAACCTGGGTGACCAGCAGTGTGGCAAGATCTGGGGACTCTTGGACCCAGAGTCAGTGACATAGCCACAGAGGACTAGAGTGGAGAGTGAAGCATCCAGCTGATAAGAAGAGAGGGCATATGCACAAGAACACCCACACTTGCAGATAATACCCACTTGACCTGGCTTCAATGACTGCATGATCAGAGCTCAAAAGAAGAAGAAAGAAGAGGGGAAAAAAAGAGTAATTCTAATTTGACGAACTTGACCTACACCTATGGATGCAGTAGCTCAAAAGAGAGAACAAATCTTAACAGTGAGGATCATTCCCACCCCCTCCATACACAGAGTAGACAGCGGTGGGCCACTTGGACATTGGCTACCCAAGATGGGGGGCTACAAAGGCAAGAAGTGACTGGTTTACAAGCTTTCAAGAAGGAATCTAGATCCAGAGGGCGTGGAGGAAGGTAGACTCTCCACTGAGTAGTATCCAATCTGTCTAGGCGGGGTTGATTAAAGGAAAGGCTGATAGGTCTCTTGTGATACAATAGTAAATAATTGTTATCAAGACTGATTGTGAGGGTTGGAAATGTAAAGGTAGACGTTTTATAGCAAAGAGGGGAGTGATTAACTTTTCAGTCTAGGAGCGGTCCCTGGGACCATCAAGGGACAAGAGCGGAGAGTGGGACCCTACCCAGAGAAGCATTGATACCAGAGATGGAGGCAGAGACAATGACATGGAGAGATGGAGCATCTGGGGACTTTAGACTCAGAGAGGGAGAGGGGCTGTGTGCTGACAACCAAGTGGGGCGGGAAGGGGCAGGGGGAAGGCTTGCAGGGTATACCCTTTGTTGGCTGATGATGCATGGAGGGGATTGTAACCATGGCAATGAAACATATACGATAGGATGAATGTAAAACTAATGTTCTCCCATGTAAACTATCACATAATTCACAATAAAACAGTAAAAAAAAAAAAAAAAAGAATACAACCCTGGCGTACATCTATCCAGATTTTAAACCATTCAATGTCCCCTTGTTCTGTTCAAATGACTGCCTCTTGGTCAATGTACAGGTTCCTCATGAGCACAATTGTTCTGGAATACCCGTTATTCGCAAGGCTATCCATAAGCTTGTCATGGTCCACACAGTGGAAGATCTTTGCATACTCAATAAAGCACAGGTAAACATCTTTCTGGTATTCTCTGCTTTCAGTCACGATCCATCTTACGTCAGCAATGATATCCCTCCTTCCACATAGTTATCTGAATCTGGCAGTTTCTTGTCAATGTACTGTTGCAGTTGTTTTAAAATGGTCTCTAGTAAAATTTTTATTGCATGTGATATTAATGATATTGTCTGATAATTTCTGCATTCCATTGGGTCACCTCTCTTTAGAATGGGTACAAATATGGATCTTTTCCAATCAATTAGACAGATAGCTGTCTTCCAAATTTCTTGACATAAATGAGTGCCTTCAGTGCTGCATCAGTTTTTTGAAAGATTTCCATTTGTATCCCATCAATTCCTGGAGCCTTGTTCTTTGCCAATGCCTTCAGTGCACCTTGAACTTCTACCTTAAGTACCATTGGCTCTTGATCATATGCTATCTTTTGAAATGGCAGAACTTACCAAACTCAACTTTGTTCACCAGTCCTGGAATTCTGGTTAAAACACTGATCCTGATTCAGTAGGCCTATTGCAGGGCCTGAGACCCTGCATGTCTAAGAAGCTCCCAGGTATACGATTTTATTTGGGGCTAGGGAAAAGGAATGAGTGGGCTTTAGGAAGTGGGGAAATCTTGCATCTGGAGGTTGCTGTTTTCTCTGGGTGCTACAAATCTGGGGATCAAGAGTGCAACAGAACAGGCACGAGGGACCTGGGGAGACTAGGAAATGGAGCTGAATGGAACCTGCTCCTCTTGCCTCTAAAACACACACCCTCCCGCTTGCCAACTCCATAGCTGCACACCTGTCTCAACCCTGGGCTCAGACGTAAGGACTACATTCGAATCTCTTCCTGCAGTTATCATCAAGTTCAAGCTACAGTCTGAAATCTGCTCCAGTATAAAATATGCCTCGCTCCCAGCTAGAGCTGTTAAATAGAGCCTCTTCCACACACCACGTTCTCATCTTTCACCTGCATAGGTTTGGAAAGTTTGCTGCTCTGGCCCTAACTACCTCATCTGCCAACCCAGGGCAGCAGGAAATCCCTTAGGCAGCCTGTCCCTTTAAGAGCCCCACCCCCACCCCCCTTCCCTGGCCGGCACCGGATTTCCCTGTTGGGCCCAGCCCTTTAAAGTCAACTCTCCAGCTTTCTGGCCGGATGTGTCCTGAGCCCTGAGAGTGGAGAGGCCCTGGGTGCTGGGAGTTGGCAGAAGTGAGCTATGATAGGTGCATGCAGGGCTCAGGAGGGACATGGAGCTGGGACTGAGTGGATCCTAAGAGCAAGCAGAGCCACCTGGGCATGGGCAAAAGATGTTATTTGTTGAGCAGCTGCTCTGGACCAGGCTCTGTGCCAAGGCCTGTGCTACACTATCTCACAACCTTCTGAGGAAGGTCTCATTATGCCCATTTTACAGATAAGGAAAGGAAGCAGTAGCTGGATTACATGAGGCTAAACCAACAAGTGGAAGAGCCAGGATCTGAACTCAGGTCAGTGCATCTATAGTCTTGATGTTTTATCCTCCCCATCACCTACTTTGTTTGGCTTCTTCCAAAACATCACCTGTCTTTGGTTTACCTTGATGAGAGAATGCCTCCCACACACACCAGTACTGGGTCCCTTCCTCCTCCTCGCAGGAGCCGCTGGGAGATGCTGTTACCACTGCTGGGCCTTCTATTGCTGCTGCTGCTGCCCTTGGTCGTGTTCAGGCAGTCACTGTCGCAAGATGCCAGGCTGTCCTGGCTTGCTAGTCTCCAGCACCGTGTGGCATGGTGGGCTCTGGGCTGGGCAGCTGCTTGGCAACAGTGGAAACTGGAGCAGAGCACTCGACATGTGAGCCAGAGCCAGCAGCAGGCCCTGAGGGGATGTCTGCGAGGACCCCAGCTTCCCCGCTGCCCACTCAGAGGAGACATAGGTGTGTCTTCAGGGTCTGGGGAGGAGACCCAGAAAGAAGGCAACCCCACAAACCAGTCTGATTCAGACCCTGAGGAGTTCACACACACAGAGGGCCCAGAACTACCCCCAGATCTCACCTGGGTTCCTTCCCCAAGTATTTCACCAGTCTTGCCTAAGTTCTGGTACTTCATGGGGAGTTTCTGGTATCTTTGGGGTTACAGATATAAGCACCTTTCGGAATGCTCTCCCTCTGACCAAGGCCAGCCTGATCCAGGAGAAAGAGAGCAGAGGTCAGCCTCCTACCTCTATCTACCACGGGGAGACTTCTCTGCAGGTAACTGGAAGGCCAGAATATAGCCCCACCAGAGGCAAACCCTCCCGTCAGAGTGCTGAAAGAACCTCCAAACTGGGGGCCAGGGTCTGGCTCAGGGTCAACACTCTTTCTTTTTCTCTCCCCAGGCCACCTTGCTGGGTCTGGCAGCCCTCAAAAAGGCCCACCCAGAAGTGCTGGCTCCAGGAAACACTGCCCGTGTGACCCCTACATCCCCCTGGTCCAGCCCCCTCCCCTGGCCTGGGCATGCCCTGGACCAGGCAGGTCCCCCTGGAGCCAGGGAATCTAGTGCCCTGTTGCTGCAGGCACTGAGATACCCTGGGTTAAGGGCACTGGAGGCTGGGACAGCAGCAGAGCTGCTGGACATCTTCTTGGGCCTGGAAACTGATGGCAGAGAGTTGGCTGAGGCAGTGGCTACAGGGAACCCAGGAGAGCCTCTCCCCAGACGAGCAGCTGAGCTGCGGCAAGCCCTGGAGCAGGGACCCCGAGGACTGGCCCTTCGACTCTGGCCAAAGCTGCAGGTGGTGGTGACCCTGGACTCAGGAGGCCAGACGGAAGCAGTGGCTGCTCTGGCAGCATTGTGGTGCCAAGGGCTAGCCTTCTTCTCCCCTGCTTATGTTGCTTCTGGAGGTCAGCAGGGCTCTGGGGAAGTGAGCTAGCAGCAGGGAGAGAGGTGACATAGTTACATGCATGGAATCCTACCTAATCATCTCATTTCAACCTCCCCACAACCCCATATGGAGTCCTGGTGTGGCACTGCAGGTTAATGCAGTAGATTGTAAGGTCGGTTCAAACCGCAAGGTTGGCAGTTCAAGCTCACTAGCCGCTCTTGGAAACCCTATACAGAGCCGCTATGAGTCAGAAGCAACTTCCCAGCACTTAACAACAATAACAATACCCTGTATGTGGGGATTAGCAGCTCCGTTTGACAGATAGAGAAATAGATGCACAAACTCACATAATAACTTCAGAACCATGACACTCTGCTGCTTGCCAACTAGGCTCTTAGAGCCCGTGGAAGCCAGGAAGAAAGGCAGGAAGAGCAACAGTTGGAGCAGATGCTCAGAGGATTGGGGCTGGGGACCAGGGGAGGGCTACATGCATCACAGGTGACCAGGTAGCTGCTTGCTTCCCCAGGGGTAGTGGGCCTGAACCTGTGGCCAGAGCAGCCTCGTGGGCTCTACCTTCTCCCCCCCGGGACTCCCTTCATTGAGCTACTCCCCGTCACAGAGGGGGCCCAGGAGGGGGCTGCTTCTACCCTCCTGCTGGCTGAAGCCCAGAAGGGCACTGAGTATGAATTGGTGCTGACTGACCACACAAGCCTTACCAGGTGACCACCTACCCACCTGAGGCCCTTTGGAATCCTTTGGAAAGTCAGGGGCATGAGCTAATGAGTCCTGGGGCCTGACTTCACCCCCACTCCTATCCCCTCAGGTGCCGCCTGGGCGATGTGATCCAGGTGGTTGGTGCCTACAACCAGTGTCCAGTTGTCAGGTTTATCTATAGGTAGGTTTGTCTGCAACATAGGGTGCTGATGAGTTATCCTCAGGCCCTGGCTCCACTGGCCTCCCCTTCCTGCTCCCTAGGCTGAGCCAGACACTGAGTGTGCGTGGAGAAAATATTGGCGAGGATGTGTTCTCTGAGGCCCTGGGCAAGGCAGTGAGGCAATGGCCAGGGGCCAAGCTATTGGACCACGTCTGTGTGGAGAGCAGCATTCTGGGTAAGCTTTTCCATTGGGCTCCTGCCTCCCATTCTTGGGTTGGCTGCCCCACAACACATACCCACCCTGCTGGGAAATATCTCAGAAGGAGATAAGATTCAACCTCTCTTGCTGCTCCTAACAAAAGTCTTTCCATATGTCTAACTTCTATTCCTCCTTCTGTAGCTTCTTTTTACCCATTTTCTTTCCTGACCAGAAAGACTGTTCCTCCCCAGTTATCCCATTCCCTACCAAGAAACTCTTTTTGTTTCTATGAACCTCAAAGTGAGGGAGAAAGATGGAGGGGAAAGGACGTGATCTTAGAAGCAGCCCCATTCACATGAAGTATGGGGGGGGGTTGTTTACAGATTCTGCAGAGGGCTCTGCACCCCACTATGAGGTGTTTGTGGAGCTGAGAGGACTGAGGAACCTGTCAGAGGAAAATCGAGACAAGGTAAATGAGTTGGGAGACAGTGTCTGACTGCATAGCCTCCCTTCACTCATATATCCATCCCCAAGGTGCTGTGGGGGCAGAAGAGTGGTGGGGAAGAGAAGGGGAGGGGAGGACACCCTCCCTGGGGCTCTGGGAAGAGAAGGATGAGTCCCTGATACTCACATAGCCTCACTTACAGACCCTTCCACTTCTAGCTTGACCACTGTCTTCAGGAAGCTTCTCCCTACTACAAGTCACTGCGGTTCCGGGGCAGCGTAGGTCCTGCCAGAGTCCACCTGGTAGGACAGGGGGGCTTCAGAGAACTCCGGGCAGCCCTTGCTGCCTCCCCCAGCTTCGCCTTCCCTCCTGAGATGCCCCGGGTCCTTAGACACAGGCACCTGGCCGAGTTCCTGCAGAGGAGGGTGGTGTCCTGAGCCGGCCTGCTTGCAATCATGTCTGCTCTCAAAGTCTCTCTGGAGGGAGCTGTGTCTGACTCTGAGTCACCTGTGTCCATCACAGCTGCTGGGCCTGAGGGAGACCTAATCCAGTTGGCCAATTCTGAAGCCTAGGCTTTAGGGGTAGAACAAACGTCAACAGTTCCCTGCCCATATCCCCCTCAGCCCATGTGGGAGGCTATTACTAGAAAGTTCCCACACACCCTGTGGTTTCCTGTACCTCTCAGCCTGAGAGTGGTCTTGGGCCACAGTTGTGTGCTTGGCCAGTGCACTGGGAAGACTGGCAGTGTGGGGAGTTGGGGTCCCCAGGAGCCGCCCTCAGTCAGATCAGATTCAACAGGAGCTGGTGAATGAAGACCTGGGCGGTGGGCGGGGGGGGGACAATTCTGAAGTGTTTCCTACACAGTCTTGCAGAAGGTCCTAGAGAAGAGAGCCCAGTCACCCACTGCAGTAACCTACTCATGAATTCTTCCCTGCCTCACCTCCCCACTCTCTTACTGTGTTTCCTGGGGTCACCTCCCTAATAAAGCTCTGGCACCAGATTCTGGACTGAGGGTCTGCTTTGGTGGGAACTGTGTAATGGGCCCATTTGTTCTGTTCCTGCCCCATTCAGAGCTCTCCTTGCCCAGGTCCCCTTCACCTTTAGGCGCCAGACCTCTTCACCCAGCCCCACTCAGCACAACACTGCACTAGACCCAGGCGTGTGTGCTCAGGAGTTCTCAGACCCCTATCATGGCCTAGCCACCACCCGCCCCCACCAACACACACACAGATAGTCACCTCCTGCCTTCCCCCAGTCCAAGCTTTTAACCTCAATGTGGAGGGGCTGCTCCCCAACGGCACTTACATTGGCTTAGCATTTGTTCCTTTCCTGGCTCAATATGCACACATCCTTCATAGCATAGCGGGAAGGTGGTTATTCTTGAGATCATACAGTGTAACCACAGAAGTCATTTAATTAAATGGTTAACGACCATTTGATCAACGAGGACACTGAGTCTCAGAGGGCCTTGGAGGCTTATCCAAGGCCCCAGAGCTCCTCTGAAGTAAGTAAAGCAAGCACCCATTCTGGATTCATTGCCTCTGAATTGCTTCTTGAACCCATGACACACAATCAGGCCTTGCTAATGACTTCTTCCTTCTAAAACCCTCCCACCATTTCCCGTTGCTTACAGGACCAAGATGGAATCACTTGGGCCTATGGGACTCTCTGACTCTGGCCCTCACCTACCTCTTTCTTCAGTCTCCTCTCTCTTCCTGGGGAGGCAGCCAAGGCTATGAGGACCACCCCCTCCCCAACATGAGCTTTCCCATCTCCCTGCCTTGCTCAAGTTGTCCCTTCTGTGAATACCTTCTCACTCCAACTTTGTTGTTAGCTGACACTCAATCAGCCCCCAACTCATAACCATCCTAAACCCAACAGAACAGAAAGCTGTCTGGTCCATCCCTGTGATCCACTGCAGATTGGACTCTTGTGACCCTTAGGGTTGTCACTGACTGGTTTTTGGAAGTAGATAGGTAAGACTAGTCTGTCTTAGTTTGAAAGCTCTTCTGAAACCTGTTCAGCATCATAGCAACATGAAAGCTTCCACTGATGAACGCGTAGTGGTTGTACATAAGGGGCACTGGCTGAGAATTGAACCTGGCTTCCTGCAAGGAGGGTGAGAATTCCACCACCACTGCTCCCTCCTCCCCATCTTATCTGATGGAAAACCACTCCTCATGCTAAAGTGTAAGTGATTGGCTCAACTTCGCTGGGTGTGTCTGCATACATCATTCCTTTCCCTCACTGAACTAGTACTATGCCCAGGTCACCTCCGCACCTGGACTGGTGACTCCTGGAAAGCTGGGGCCGTGTTTTATTCACCCTGTTGCTCCAGTGCCCAGTGCAGGGCTATAAGCAGTGTGCTGTATAAGAGAAATTGGGGCCTCAAGATGACTTCCTCCCAGCCAACAGTAGGGGTGGGACTTCCTCTCTCCCTGACCAGATAGTTTGACCCAGGTTTTACCTTCCTCTCCTGGTTGAGATTTCAACGTTTTCCATCTTGGAAGTTGGTGGAAGGGACAGAAGGGAAGAAGAGAAGTGGGAGTGGGTGCGGTTTAGGAGCCTTTTCTATGGAAGACAAAGGTTCCAGAGGCAGCGACCAGGAGCAGTGAGGGAGCGGCCTGCTGCCTGGCTCCCTCCTCCCTTCCTGACCTCACACATGTGGACAGTTGGACTTACAACGGCCTCTTCTCCGGCCTCTAATTAGCCACTGGCCCCTCCACCATATTCTCCCAGGGCAGCGGCCCAGTCAAGGCTGCTTTTGTGCTGTCAGATTCCTGGATGCAAGGTGGCCTCGTTAGTGCCTGGAGACTGCCAGGAGCAAGCAGACAAATGAGGGGGAGAGCAGGGGCCCAGCGGATCCAACTCCTGCCTACGAATACCTCAGCGACCATTCCTTGAGTCTAGCCTGGACACGCATCCCTCCCCACCTCCCATGGGAGGCTAATCTTAGCCTTGCCTTTGTCTGGCTCCAGAGTGGACGCAAGTGCCCATCTTGCCCCCCGTCATCTGTGAGCACTATAAACCCCAGACCCTGGTAGCAGGTCACAGTCCACAGCCTCAAGATTCCTGGTTCTTTGGACCGCTGCAGATACCACCTTTCCCTGATACTCCATCCTGAGCACCAGACACCATGAGTCTGCCCTCCGCAAAGGTAAAGACCCAGGGACCTTGGGATGACCCATCATTCCAGTGAGGCAACGAGTGTATCTGCTGGGTAAAGAAAGAACAGAGGTGTCCCTGCTATAGACCTGTTTACCTCTGGGCTCTGAGGTGATCTTGGCTATGAATCTACCTTTGGTTAACACTGGGTCTGGCCCATTCTCCTAAGAGCTCATTTTTATTGAACACTTAACCTACCCTGTGTCAGATGCTGTGTTTACACCTGGCATCTCATTTCATCTCCCGCAATGTTCTAGGGTTGTTGTCGTTGTTAAATGCTGTCAAGTGGGTTCTGACTCATAACGATCCTGTCTAGGGTTTACTAGGAGCAGCTGGTGAACTTGAACTGCTGACGTTTCTGCCATTCAAACCGACTTTGCAGTCCAGTGCATTAACCCACAGCACAACACGGAATTCTTTAATACCCACTTTACAGTCAAGGAGCTATGTCCCCTGGGCCCAAAGGAAACAGCCCCCAAGGCACAGAGTTCGGTTTGTACTAAAGGAAGCCAGCCAACAAGACATCTTGAGTCCCGCCTGTTCCTGATTCCCAAGTGTTTGCCTGCTGTGGGGAACGGGCTGCTCTATATTTCAAAGTCACATGGGGATAAGAGGACTAAATGGGGCTTCTTTCTTACGTCTCCTAACTTCTGGTGCAGACTGACTCAGACACGTCTGTCTCCAAAAGGAATGGTAAGGTCTAAAGGTACCCAGAGGCGGGAGCAATTCACTCTTCCCAGGAGATCACAAAAGGTTTACTGGAGGAGATGCTGTGTTGGGCTTGAAGGATGAGCAGGTAAAGGAACGAGTATTAGCCCTTTTCCCACAGATCCTTTCAGACAGAAAGACAAGAGTGGGCAACTGTGCAGAAGCTAAAAGAAACGCGAGCCAGGAGGGGGCGCTGAGCCGGGAGGACAGGTCATGGGTGCGCTGCGAAGTCCCCCAGTGCCTCTTCTCCCGCCTCCCTAGATCTCCTGGACAGCTGTGACGTTGCTGCTGCTACTTTTGCTGCCGCCCGCGCTGCTCTCACCCGGGGCGGCCGCGCAACCCCTGCCCGACTGCTGTCGCCAGAAGACGTGCTCCTGCCGCCTTTACGAGCTGCTGCACGGTGCGGGCAATCACGCGGCCGGCATCCTGACACTGGGGAAACGGCGACCGGGGCCCCCCGGACTCCAGGGTCGCCTGCAGCGCCTACTGCAGGCCAGCGGCAACCACGCAGCTGGCATCCTGACTATGGGCCGCCGCGCAGGCGTAGATCCTGTGTCGCGCCCCTGCCCCGGGCGCCGTTGTCCCACCGCAGCCTCCATGGTCGCCATGCCCGGAGAACGGTCCCGGCTCTAAGCCCTTGCTCTGGCCCTGCCCTGGTCCTGCCCTGATCCTGCCCTTTCCCTTCTGCTGGCCAGGGTGTCAGGCCCCAGAAGAAGGCAATAAAGGAGAGTCTCCGTTAGTGTGACTGGTCTCTGTTCTTGTGTAGTCGCGCCCCGCCCCCAGGGGGGCGTGAGAGAGCCTTGAGAATAATAAAGAACCAGAGGGCCAGGTAGGCGGCCTCAGCAGTGTGGGCCTCAGCCTGAGCGCAGATGAACCTAAAAGACACTTAAATGGGGGAGGCTCCGGGTATAAGGAACCGCACAAGGCCCTGGAATGCCTAGAGAACCTGATAAGTGCGCCCCTGGAGTGAAAGATATACAACAGACACGTCCCTTAATCCGTACTGGGCTCTTCACAGCGGCTCAAGGGAGCAGAGGGAGAGCTAGGAAGGCTGCACAGAGTAGAATCCAACTGGGAACGGGATGGGTATTGTGGGTGTGAACCGTCCAGAATGGCTGGGCTGTGGGGAGCAGTGAGGCGTGCAACCTGGCCCTTTATAGGTAACTGGAAGCAAAGGCAAGGCACAATTTTCCTGCAACTCTAGCCTAAGACATCTAAAAGTAGAGACACAAGGGGCTTAGAACCATAGTCTCAGGGGACACTAAGGTCACCTAGCATAGCAGTCATAGACAATGTTCAACATCCTACTTTGGTGAGTAGTGACTGGGGTCTTATAAGCTTGTGGGAAGCCATCTAAGGCACAACTATTCGTCTCTTTCCATCCTGAGCAAAGAAGAGTGAAAAAAATCAAAGAACTAATGGACCACATGAACCTGAGACCAGAAGAGCTAGATGGTGCCTGGTAGTAGTTAACCACTCTACGAGGGATCAAAATAGGAGGTCCTGGATAGAGTAGGATAAAATATGAAACAAAATTCAAAATAATAATAATTATTTAAAAACAAAAATACCAGGCTTACTTGTCTAATAGAGATTGGTGGAAACCCCGAGGCTATGTTCCTTAAGACACCCTTCCAGTCCTAGAACTGAACTCACGTGACCCTATAACTCAACTTTCAGCCAAATGACAGAAAAGACTATAAAGTGAAAAATAACATCCAGAAGATACACACTCCTTAGAACAATGAACCGTATAAAATAAACAGACAGTCATTTGCCCAGGGATAAAGTTCAGAAGGCTGGAAAGGAAAAGGAAAGAGGGACAAAGAAACAGTAAACACAGGGAGGAAGTGAGAAAAATGCTATTTCATTGTGGGAATTGAAATCAATGTTTTAAATCAAAATGTGTATGAATCATTGAGTGAAAAACAAACTTGTTCTGTAAACTTTCACCCAAATCACAATAAAAAGTTTTGAGGAGAACAAACAAGATGGCAGATCAGGTGGAAATGCAGTGAAGAGCTCCGTCAGCAACAACACAGAATACCAGAACAAGCAGGCCCAGGGGATAGTGCCAGAACTCTGAACCACATATAAAGGAATATTTAGAAGGTTGGAAGGCTTACAGCTAGGGAAATTGATAGGTAGCAAAAGCAAGAAATCCATTGCTTTCTGATTCAGGATGCTCAGCTGCTCATGGAGCCACCATCTTGGGTGAGATCAAGTGGGGGAAGGATCAGAGCAGCCACAGACGCCTGACAGAACTGCAGAGATAAAGGTGTGGACAGTCTTTTTTTTTTTTTGGTATCTGTTCATTGGTCTCTCGCTGTCTGCACATGTCCATTCTGGTGACTAAGAGGGGGTACCTGAGCAAGTGGACACCCCAACCCCTCCCCCGGAGGTTTCTACTACGGATGCACACAGATCTCCTCGAAATTTAAAGAGACAGTTTCCACTTAAAACCAAATGGCCACAGCCAGCCCTGAACTGTTTATAACTAGAAAAAAGGCCTGAATGGGAATGTGGAGCAGGACAGGCAGACTAAAAAGGAAACAGGCCAAAAATTAAATCCTGAGTTACATTGCAACGACCAACAGTGGCATCTTGAAATTTCTCAGGAAGAAGAGTGAAAAGGGAAGCCCATCTCCTGATCACATCTATCTGGAGGCAATCAGAAAGCATAAAAAATACCAAAATGCACACCCATCTAAGTATTAAGGCCACAGATAACTCCCGAATATTCCCAAAAAACAGAAGC